TTTCAGGAGGGTCTTCACTGGTCCAACAAATTTCTATTCACTAAATGCTAATAGAAAAAGATAAGAGTATAAAGTCTTTTGTGTTGTGTTTGATGTGAAAGTTTCCCTAAAAGATATTTTCCAAGATTCTCTTAGCTATTGCCTTTATATCTCAGAGCTCAGCTGATGTGTCTTTGTGAGCCCAGCTCCAGCTGGGTCACATTCTGTATGCTCAAGTAGAGTGAATCAATGATTCTAATATTAATTTCCTAAATCATATCCAAGTAGAAAATTAGGGCCAACATGAGTATCGTCAAACCCATTGCGGTCGAGTGGATTCCGACTCATAGCGACCCTATAGGACAGAGTAGAACTGCCCCATAGAATTTCCAAGGAGCGCCTGGTAGATGAGTATCACAGTGCTAGTAAAATATAGTTAATAAAATACAGTAAAAATAGTTAATTTTTACTCAGTCCAAAATATGACACTGTAGCTTGATCTTCACAATGTCCCAAAGGAGAGACAACGAGAAAACGTTCTAGGAAAAGTTGAGACCAGCTAATAGACATTTATCTCTAAAGCGTTTCTAAACCTCGGCACTGTTGCCATTTTGTTCCAAATAATTCTTTGTTGTGGGGGGCTGGCCTGGCATTGCAGATATTTAATAGCATCCCTGGCCTCTACCCACCAGATGCTAACAGCACGCCCCGGTTGTGATTATCAGAAGTGTCTCCAGTTGTTGCCAAATGTCCTTTAAAGCCGTTGCTGTCGAGTCGATTCTGACTCATAGTGCCCCATAGGGTTTCCAAGGAGCAGCTGGTGGATTCGAACTGCTGACCTTTCAGTTAACAGCCAAATGCTTAAACCACTGCACTACCAGGGCTGCAAATGTCCTTTAAGGGGGCAAAATCACTCCCACTTGAGAACAAGAGCTCTGTATTTTAAAACAATGTCGTATGTGCGTAATTTTAATTGAGGAAGGCTACCTAGGTGGATAGTGCTTAAGAGCTTGGCTGCTAACAAAAAAGGTCAGCAGTCCGAATCTATCAGCCGCTGCTTGGAGACCCTGCAGGGCAGTCCTGCCCTGTCCTACAGGGTTACTGTGGGTTGGAGTCGACTCGACGGCAAAGGGTATCCGGCTGCTACTCCGAATGCCTAGGAACACATTGGCCTGGTCACCTTTGCTGTGTTGTTTTTGGTATCAAGTGACCCTGAGAACCAGCCAGCACATTTTAGCTTTAAATTGCAGTCTTTTAAACTAAAAAACACTAAGCACAGAAAATTCCTCTAAATTGTTTCATCATATCACTATGCAGTATGAACAGACTCCATTAAAACTCATCTGAGTGTGGCCTATTTTCATAAGAATAAAATGGTCATCTCCCGCACGCTGTGAAGGGCAATTAGACTGGACTGCTAGATGAAAATACATCATATATGAGGGAGCCCTGGTGGTGCAGTGGTTAAGAGTTCAGGCTGTGAACCAATAGGTGGAAACCCTGTGGGGCAGTTCTTTGTCCTGTAGGGTCACTATGAGTCAGAATTGACTCAGTGGTATTAGGTATATGTATAAGCTACAGTTCTAATTTGCCTGACCCAGAGGGAGGTAGCTAATAAGGCAGAAAAATGAATCCTAGTGTAACAGTACATTTCTGATGGCTGTAATGAGGTGAAACTCAACTTTCTCAAACACGGCACTGTTATGAGACTTTGCTCACAGAATAGTCTTCAACGATCGTGGTAGCTACAAGCTTTCTGCTACCATTTCAGAGCTACGGGGGCGGGAGGGGTAGTTTTCAAAGCACTATGTCTCACATACTCGGACATGTTATCAGAGGGGATCAATCCCTGGAGAAGGACATCATGCTTGGTAAAGTACAGGGTCAGCAAAAAAGGGGAAGACCCTCAACAAAGATGGATTGATACTGACTGCAACAATGGGCTCAAGCATAACCATGGTTGTGAGGATGGCGCAGGACTGGGCAGTGTTTCATTCTGTTGTACACAGCGTCACTATGAGTCGGAATCAGCTCGCAGGCACCTAACAACAAAAACATATATAAAACAGAATTATGAAAAGGAAAGAGAATACTGATTCTCAAATTGAGGGATGCTGAAAGGATTCCCCAGATGATCTCGGCATTAATCAATAGGATAGTTTACACAGAACTGAAGAGTTACCAAATAGAATTATAGGTAGTAGTTGCCCAGGCCAAAGATCAATGAGATTTTGGTGAGTGGGGGTGGTGGGTAGGTTGGCATGGTCAATCTAATGGGGGAGGAATGGCGTCCCAATATAGTTGTAATTTTTATCTACTTAGGAGAAAAGTTGGACATAAATTTCATATGTTCAGGAACCATTTTCTATCTCTGAATTGTTTTGGGCTTGAAGTCTACTTGTATGAAGATTGCAACCCCCACTGTCTTACTATTTCCATTTGTCTGGTCATTTTTTGTCCATCGCTTTGTTTTTAACTTCTTAAATTGCTGTGTTTTAAGCGTGTCTCGTGTTCAGCACAGAGCTGGGTTTTTGCAATATGAGTCAGTTTGAAAATCCTTTTAACAGGCAAGTTAAGTCCATTCAGGTTCATTGATATGACTGCTGCATTTGCTCTCTACCCTGTTTTTTCTTACGTTGTAATTATGAAGTGTATTACATTTACTATATCTCTATTTGGTGAGTCCTCTTGACTTTTTTTTTTGGTATATGGGAAGCTTTGTGTTTTTATTCTAATGGTTATTTGTCTTAGTTACCTGATGCTGTAATGGCAGAAATACCACAAGTGAGTGGCTTTTAAGAACAGAAATCATATTCTCCCAGTTTTGAAGGCGAAGAGTACAAAGCAGGGAGTGTTGACGTCTGTGAGCCTCCGAGTTTCTGGTGTCTGCAGACATTCCTTGGCGGTCCTTGGTGTCTGTCTTTCCTCTCTGTGTGCCTCGGTGTCTCTTCTGCTCTTTTTCTAACTCAGAAGTGATTAGGTTTAGGAACCACCCTACTCTAGTATGACCTCATTATCATAACAAAAGAAAATCCTTTCTTCCAAACTAAAACCAGAACCCGTTTCTGTCTAGCCAATTTCAACTCATAGCAACCCTAGAGGACAGAGTAGAACTGCCCCATAGGTTTCCAAGGAGCGGCTATTGGATTCGAACTGCTGACCTTTTTTGGTTAGTAGTCGAGCTTTTAATGACTGTGCCACCAGGCAGGGCCATATTTGTAGGTACAGAGGTTAAGATTTCAACACACATATTGGGGAGATGCAAATTTAATCCGTAACATTCTACTAGTACTTCTTGTAGTTCTTTCTCTCTCTCTCTTTTTTTTTTTTTTTTTGCTTACTCTTTTACTATCTGTATTTTCCAAATGGTTGAGTTGACTCTTGCCTATCTATACAATAGTCTTCCTCTACTTTCCCCCTTTTCTCTCACTTCTCCTGGTTTTTAGTTGCATTTGTTCTACTTTATCAGAACATACAATTTTTCCATATTCTTCTTCAACCCATGAACCCACCCTTGTTTTAGTTTTAGCTCCACCATTGAAGAAGTGAAATGCTGTCCATCCGTCCTTCTGTGACAGTTCCCAGACATCTTTGGTTGGGTGAAGCCCGCCCGCCAGCTAATGCCTCAGGTAGAGCACATGTGTACAGCATTCCTGGAGTTCTGGCACATTTGAAACTGATTTTCTATGGCTTTGAACTTCCAAGGGCAGCTTGGTTGATATAATCCCTTTTATTTTTCCTTAAGTTTCTTGAAAATGCTGCTCTGCTGTTGCCTTGCCTTTTATTTCTAAGAAATCCGATGCCGATCTAATTTCCTTGCCTTTGTGAATTATCTCATCTTTTTGCCTGGAGGCTCTGAGGGTTTTTTTTTTTTTTTTTTTTTTTCCTTTATCTTCAAAGTTTAGTCATTCCACAAGACCACATCTCAGAGCTGATTATTCTGGCTCAGTTTTCCCGGATACCTTCAGGGTCCTGTCAATGTATACATTCAAGTCTCTTATTTCTGGAACTTTTTCTTGAGTTATAGTTTTAAATATTCTG